AGGACTTTACTTTTATTTCGTAAAGTTATATCAACTTAGTCATGACCTTGACCAATTTAGTTATAACGTTGGTCACCTATTCCAACACTACGCGCGTTTGTTTGCTATACATTCACTTATTGGGGTGAGTATCCATATACACGGTGTTCTACATCATCTTATTATGTTTATCGTGGTCACAACCTAATTTGGAGGTCATTTAAACGACAAACTACATTATCCGGGTCTCGTGCGGAAGCTGAATATTATGGTGTTGCAAACGTTGTCTCTGACGCTTGTTGGCTTTAAAACATACTTCTAGAACTTCACTACTCTTTCACCAAATCTAATGTTTGTTTTCTGTGACAATGTTAGTGTTGCGTACTTGTCAGGAAAACATTGTTAACACCACCGCACGAAACACATTGAAATGGATATTCATTTTGTTCATGAAAAGGTCATTGGATGCGAAGTTTGTGTCCTTCATGTAATGTCTCAATATCAAACCGTTGATATTTTTACCAAAGTTTTACCGTTCATTTTACTTGATACTTTCGAAGCAATCTTAACTTATATTCTCGTCCTACCAAGATTGTAGGGGACTTTTAGAATATTCTATTACTATCATTTAAATTTAAATTGAGATTAGATAGATATCCTAGTATGTGTTTGTATCTATCTTTACTTTCCTTGTAAACGTAATAGAGATATGTGTTTAAAGCCTTGAGGGAGATGAATGAAGGCAAGGAATCAGAACAATATTTCTTAAAGGAAAAGAAAATAACGATAGAGGTGTGCTCTGACTTTTGATTCCATTGAAGAAGTTTACGTCTGGATTGATGTGCACAATGCACAATTGGTTGCAAATACTTGTAGAGCGATTATTGAGGTGGCTTGTGCTACGTTTATTAGGGTTCTTTGGACATACCGAAACACACAATTTTTTGGAAACACGAAGTATGGGAAGGAGTTTATTGGACCTTAGGCCCTACCAACTCTCCCAATATACCAATTGGTCTTAGGAAAAGTGCTACCATTGTACATATAACACATTCAACCCTCTAGCGCCTACAACATTCAATTGTTCATGTAGCACATTCAGCCCTCTAATGCCTATGACATTCGACTGCAATTAGGAAAACTTCCATATGTATCGTTGAGACTGAGTCAATTCTGACCCAACAAAGTTCATGTTTGATCCTATTTTCTCTTTTTCTTTTATTTCGTTTTCTAGTAGGAATCGCAAAGTTAGGAAAACATTTATGGGTGGATTCAAAACCTGCTTAATGACTAATTTTCATCAGCTAGTTTGTAGCTAATGTTTTAATATACATGGTCGTTCAAAAAAAACGAGAAGGTTGTGCTCCTTTATTCCATTTACATAAGCAATGTAAGAGATATCAACCCCCAAGTTATGAAACATCTGCATTATGATAGTAACATTTATGTGTATTATGCTTGCTTGATTAAAAGTGCTTACTCAAACAACATAACATACTATTATAGAAGGAGAATTATTAAGGAGTGGTGGGTATCAAATTGTTGTTATCCTTTTAAATTTCTTAACGGACATCCCATTACTTCCTTTAATGTAATGTAAAAAAAAGATTCTTAATCATACATAGGGACATCTCATTATTTCCACAAACCCATCTTTGCCCCAACCCCGCCTAATTTCCGACGAGTTTCGGATGAAAACATCTCCACTGGATGTGGGTAACCCAATGGATACCCGTTTAATAAATTAAATATATTTCTTTAAATATGAAAATTATCACAATTAACATAAACAATAATCATGACATTGTCTTTGTATTATATTATGTTCGATATCCATTTCTACATGCTTACACTACAAATAAAATTACATTTATTGGCACAAAGTTTTAGTGACATTTTGCTTTTGTGCCACTATAACCTATTTTTAGTGGCACTTTTGTCTGTGCCGCTATAAGTTTTAAGAGATACAATGACACTTTATATCTTATGACACTAATAACCTACTTTTCGTGGCATTAATAATTGATGACACTGTTTTTATAATTAGTAGTGGCGTAAATGTGCCACTAAAAGTTTTATATGTCATATATTATGTTCAATTTTAATATTAATAAAATGAAATAAAAATTAAATTAAATCATTTTAGTAATAGGAAAACATGAACTAAAAGACAGATGAGTATGTTTTGTGAGAATCATCACCAAAAATTAAAATATCCCTCCTTGGTTGCTAGCGGGAAAATATTTTCCCCAAAAATTTACAAAACCCTTCTTATACTCTGATTCCCTCCCATCGAGAAATTTTCCCCCTTTCGATTTCTACATAGATAAAGATGAAGACTAAAAGTGTTTAAATTGATATATCTTCCTACGAATGCAGAGTGGATTAAGGCTAAATTGGAGTGCAAGCATCAAAAGTTTAGAGTTCTTACATCATAAAAAGCACATATTGAAATATGGGAAAATTTGGAAACTTCACTTAAAATATTTTTTGCAAGATAAAACGAAGTTGGAATGAGCAGGGGTAGCATATGGTTGGTTCGTTTTTGCTGGTCCTTATGTTTTCCTCTTATGTGACCAGAAAATGTAAATCACTAAACATGGGTAAATATGGTATTTAACTTGAAGATAGGATTTTTATACAGTCTTGATGCCGACACAAGTATATGTGTTGTAATATACAATCTTTTTAAATTGTAGTCTTAATATATATATATATATATATATATATATATATATATATATATTACAAATGCATGCAGGCGTATGAGTTCTAGAAATCAATCAGAGAAGAAGAATTAAATGAAGAGGAGAAAAACATGAAGGTGAGGAAACATAAACATGAATGTTCAAAAACAATGTAACAAAAAGACAAGTTTTTTAGTAAATGAAAATCAATTTTTAGTTGATTATATTATAAACATATTAAAGAATATGTATGTTGTTTTGTGTTGTTACATACAGGTGAAAAGTTCCAATATGTGATGAAGTTTAAAGAAGAATGGACAAGTTCTTGATTCAAGAGGAGCAAAATATTTAGACTTATTGAACTTTGTTGAAGAATTTATATGTTAAATATTTTGAATTTAGTTGTTAGACAAGTTTTAACTGGAATAATGATATTATGTATTCCATTTGTTATCTTAATGGTCTTATCATTATTTTATATTTCATTTAAAATTAAAAAAAAAGTCACACCTGCATTATTAATACTCTTTTTGTTAAAAAAAATTGGTCACTTAAATGATGAAAATAATATTTACTTTAGCAGTTTAATAGTGGCATAAAAATAGTGCCACTAAAACCTATAGGTGTTGTAGTGGCATAGTAAAAAAGTGCCACTAAAACCAAAAAATGCTGCAGCGACACAACCAAAAAGTGCCACTATAGGCCTTTAGTGAGAGCGCTTCTAGTGACACTTTTTCTTTTGTGCCGTTGCTTGCGCAAAGGGTCTTTAGTGACACTTTTTCAGTTTTTAGTGACACTTTTTCTGTGCCACTAAATGTCATTTTATTTGTAGTGTTATACCAAGATGCATTCTATCTTTAACTTTTGATAGGGTGGTTATAGATGTTGGATTAATCGGGTTTGTTGTAATCCAAACGTGCAACAAAAGATTTGGTCTTTTTCTTTGACCGGGTTTTATGGAAGATAAAAGTGACCGGCTACATTTTAGCATAATATCGTGGGCTAGATGATAGCTATTATTCAGCTCTTTATTTAGTATAAATAGATGTACTGTGTTTTTGTTTAATATATAGGAAGAGGTAGACATTTATAATCAGGTTCCATTTTGCAAATTTACTTTCACATACATATTTACTTGACTAGTGTGTGTTGTGTGTGTGTTTTGTGGAGCATGAACCTACAATTGGTATCAGAGCTAACCAGGTGGTTATCGGGAGCTGTTGTGATAGGAACCAGATGTCGGTTTCCAATGGGTTGGATGGTGTTCGGATTTGTAGAAGATGGTGCAACAGGTGGCTGCGGTTTACTATGGTTCCCGGAGAAGATGATCGACGGGTGCTATGGTAGCGATGGATGGTGATGATAGCAGGTAACAAAGGGAAGAATGGTCCCGGTGTAATAGATGGCTGATGTAGTTCAGTACGATGAGTCTAACCAGAAGCCGAGAAGACAAGCCAGAAGAAATCAGAACATGTGGTTCTTTGGTTTGGCTTGTTTGCAGGTAAAAGAAAACAGAAAAAGGAGAAGCTTGGTTTTCTTGACTGGTAGCGGTAGAAGAAGACTCTTGGAACAGGTAAAGGATTGGAGATGTCAAAGGAAGGTCTCGACAGTGACTGCAGTGGTCGTTAAAGGAGACTGTGACAAAGTTGGCTTTGGATGTGGCCGAGGAAGAGGCCAGGGGTCCGGGAAAGTCGAGAGAAGACTTTGAATGTGGCCGAGGTGGAGGTCAGGTGTCCGGGAAAGGTCGAGACTCGTGGTGGTTGTTGTCTTGGTAAAGCAGGTGGCTGGAAGATGGTACAACCATATGGTGTTGGTTAAAATAGTTGTTGTCGACGGGTTTTCATGTGAAGCAGTCGGCGGGTCGACTGTGAATAGAAGTTGTGAAGGTGTTGGTGGTCATCGGTGGTTAATGGTGGAGAAACCCCCACTACAAATAAAATGACATTTAGTGGCATAGAAAAAGTGTCACTAAAACCAAAAAAAGTGCCACTAAAGTCCCCCTGGACAATCAGCGGCACAAAAAAAAGTGCCGCTAAAAGCGCTGCCACTAAAGACATTTAGTGGCACTTTCCAGTTGTGTCGCTGCAGCCTTATTGGGTTTTAGTGGCACTTTTCGATTATGCCACTAAATCACTTGTAGGTTTTAGTGGCACTATTTTTATGACACTATTTAATTGACAAATTAAATGTTATTTCATACTTTAGTGCACTTTTCCACATTAAAAAATTATATCATAAATTAGGCTTGATTTTATATTAAATTTAAAAGAAATATATAATAATAATAAGACAATTAAGATTAACAAATGGAAGCAAAATATTATTACTTAACATAAACGTTCACTTGTCTAACAAAAGCCACTCCCTATATCACTATTGCTTCACAATCTGTTACATACGGCTATACTATATTTCAATACATAGTATTACAATACCCATGTACTCAATTTCAAAACTATTCCTAAACACCCAAGTGTAGTCATCCATTCTTCGGTGTCCCTTCTTTTGACCCTCTATTCTTTTAGTCTTGAAGTTGTAGATTGGAGGTACGTCTTCGCGATTCAACTACTAAAATATCCAACTACTCAAAAGCATATCAAATCCTAATATAAACTTTGAAAGTACAAAAAGAAGGAAAATTTTGTACCTGCATATTGCCAATAAGAAAACAAAATATAACTAAGCCTCCAAATCATACTCCACACCCAAAAAGAGTTTCCCCGTGCTTGTACTCGTCTCCAAAATTTGCCCATATGAACTACACACCATCAAATTGTTTAAATGTTTTTATCACAAACTAAACCTTCTGCAAAAAAAAGTAATAATAATAATAATAATATTATTTATTTTAAAACATAAAAGTTGTTCACCCACAAACCAAGTGTATTATTCAATAATTAAAACATAAAAGTTGTTCACCAAAATAAACATATTTACCCATATTCGTAATATTTACCCATATTCGTATAAAAGAGTAAGGGGAATTGAAGAACCAATGTTTTAAATGTTTAAGCATACTTTAAGTAAGGAATATGAAGGTCACCTAAAAAGAATACAACCATATTCTCTTATCATTGGTCATCAATGGAGCTAAACTTGAAATGTGAATAAAACCATATTGTTTCGAATTCGTCGTACCTACACTGTAGGAGTCTTATTCTTCTTGTTTCGGGAAGCTCCAAACTTTTTGTTATCTAGCTGCGACCATAAACAATATTTTAGAAATAAAAATTATTTTAGAAAATAATAATGAAAATAAATTTTGACAAAATTTTATCACAATGGTTAGCTTTCAACCACAACAAGCATTAATTCTCAAAGCTATTCTCTATTTTATGGGAAACATTAATCAATTAGAAAGTAACATCCATATCACATCTTAAAGAATTTTAAATCTGTTGATTCACATTCAATTATAGTATATAATATTATAGTCTATAATAATAAAGATATAAATAAATACAACAAATGTTTCCAGGAAAACACATAGCTTGATTTCGCTATTAAAATTTGAAAAGGTCAAGTAAGCAGAACAATTTATTCCATAATGTACCGAATTTAGTTCTGTGGAACTAAATGAAATTAGCAGAACAATTTATTCCATAATTCACCCACTTCTAGCACGTTTCATGGGAAAGTCTAGAGAAATGGAATTGGCTCATAAACACTAACCCGCTTGCTTTTCATTCTCAGCGCTTATGGTTTCAGAGGCAGCTTTCGTCTTCACCAGCGCTTCACCGGTGTACCTGTAACCCGACTGCACTGTTATTATTCATCCTGAAATTTCAGAATTAATTATGCTGTTAATTGACTAAACTAAAAGAACAATTAGATAGAATACCTCAAGGAACATCATTGGTTATCTAATGTAATATTGGGCAGATAAAATCGAAGTTAATGAAAACAACTTGGAATTAAAAGAATTTAACACACTGATCCGAGGAAGTGCAGGAAATTGTATAAACCTGATTGACTTCAATAATTACTGAAAAGCAAAACCAATGGAGAGAAATGTACTCGATCTTCTTAACAGGTGAAAGGGAAGAGCAAGAGAAGTGTTTAATTATTGGAAGAACTTCAAGAGAATTGCAGTGTACATCAGGATTTGTAAAAAGTGTAAGGAAACTTCCTGGGAATCTTCGTGGGTAGAATAATGAAGGTGACCAGAAAATGACACCTTACTATAAACGGAACTATATTCATGCACTCACGTTTAATCACATTGGGAATTACCAGTTCAATTATATTTAAATAAAAGAATGGTGAGACTACTCGGAGTCGGCAACGCCCACTCCTGTTATTGTGCCTAATAACATGTGATAACGCCAATGAACACCGCCCCTCCCTCCCGTTATTGCGTGTTAAAAGCATTCCCGTTACTTTCCGTTACCACCATAAATGTTTTTTCTCCTAGTAACGCGTACACCCACCTCTCTGAAAGCTTTAGATAAATTATTTATTCACTTCCAATTAATACGCAGGTGACCAGAAAATGACTCCTTACTAAAAACGAAACTATATTCATACACTCATGTTTAATCAGCTCAATCATACTTAAATAAAAGAATGGTGAAAGTTTTAGATGAAATTATTCATCCACTCCCAAATAATAAGCAAATATAAAATGATGGAAATATGTTAAGTCTTTTGCAAATGAAATAAAAAATTTAAAAACTGATATAAATTCAATTTTAAATTATACAAAACTAGGTATAGGTCTGTACACGAGCTAGAATATATTAATATTTCTACTACATATAGACATACGAATGAAACTAAAATCAAAAAATTACTAAATATAGCAAACACAAATATATATATATATATATATATATATATATATATATATATATATATAATATATATTATATATATATAAAAGTAGGTTATTTTGTTTCTTACATTTATTGTGTGCTAGAATTCACCAATAGAAATTTAGTAATTAAATAATTATTTAATTAAATAAATATAGATATTAAATGATTTCTATAATTATATGTATATTAAATGATATCCAGAATTATAATTCTTTTTTTATGGAAACTAATTAAATCTGTCATTAATATCAGCAATAACATTCTTTCAGAATGAATTCGAATCTAGGTTTTTATATATGAGTTCGTATTTTGTTTCAGGACTCACTCACTTAAAATACAATAAAGTTGCATTGAATATGAAGAACGAAAGTGTATTCTACTAGAATACACTGTCATTCTGCTGGAATACACTCTCATTCTTCTAAATTCATTCTGAAAGAATATTATTGTTGACATTAATGACGAATTTAATTAGTTCCCATAAAATTTAGTTATAAGTATGGATAGCATTTAATATACATATAATTAATACTAAATTCATATTGGTGTATTCTAGCACACAATAGATGTGAAAAACATTTGAACCTACCTCTCTCTCTCTCTCTCTCTCTATATATATATATATATATATATATATATATATATATATCTATATATATATATATATATATATATATATATATATATATATATATATATATATATATATATATATATATATATATATATATATATATATTGTGAAGTATACTTAAAGATCATCAATTCAATCTTGTTGACCAATGTGCTATATATAAACTTTGAAGTACTTCCTTGTAGACAACATTAGTTGTTGTGTTTGATAGGTTCTCTTCTTCATCCATGAATACCAACTTTAATTTTATTGTTATTCCAAAACACAACACCAAGGGGAATTGTTTATAGATAAATTTGAATGACATTTACTTGTCACATGAATTTAAAAGGATCATGGGTATGGGCGTTCGAGTTCCAACATTAATTTCATAAGTCATTTATGCTTCAATCACTTGTGTTTCGTGGTTAATCATACGCATGCGTATCCCATTACCTATGCCTAGATTTTTATTAAGATTATGCAAATACATTATCGGTGCACATACTTTCAACATTAATTCATGGTCTGGTATTCCCGATTATTTGATGGAATACATTAGGTGAGTACAACGCTTCGTTAGAGAATTGTATTGCTAAACGTTACACAATTTATCCGAACTTAGATATATTTGTAAATCAACGGACATCTGATTAAGAATATTCTCGTTTATCTGGCCTACTTCATTCATATATGCCAAAATAGCACATTGTTGAAAGTAGATGCTACGTGTGAGCTGAGCCATTAACATTTCATACTATGTTTTCAAACTTGTTCGATATTGTATGTTTACAACTTTTATGCTACATGTAAGTCGCTACCATTTGTTTCTCAATATTTTCTACCTCTATCAATGGACGATTTTCAATGATATAATCCGAAACTTGTATTCCCACAAATATAGTAAAAAAAGATATCATATCAATAGTTAATCATAATATCAGTACTTAGTATATCTTAAATCATAAAAGGATTTAAAATATTAATAAAGGTGAACATTTGGAAAATGGTTATTTTCCACAATAAGAACCAAAAAAGAAGTTGCACCATGTAATCATAGATGAAAGAAAGGAAAATAGAAAATTTCAGTAAATAGAGAAAGAAGGTGTTACATTTTTCTTTTTTGAAGAGGTCGACGATGGCTGGTCGTGCCACTTGGAACTGGAAAGCCTTGAATCGGTAGCTCGGTGGTGGAATCAATCCCTCATATCTATTGGGTTTGGTGATGGATGTTTGAGGTACATTTCCGTGCCTGATTTCAAAAAAGGGAAGACGGATTTTCTACCTGATTCGGAGATGTACGGGCAGAGCGCGGCCGATAAGCAGTGTTAGGGAAATGGAGGCGAGTTTCCGAAGACTGAGAAACAACGCCTTGGAGCTCGGAGTCAGGTCGATGGCTATGGAGATGGCGATTGGGGATTTAGGGCAGGAGTGGGAAAACGGTGGGAGTATGTGAGGTAATTAGTCTAGTGCAATTGAAAATTTTAGTTATCTATGTAGAAATCAAAAGGGGGAAATTTTTGGATGGGAGGGAATCAAAGTATAAGCGGGGTTTTGTAAATTTTGGGGAAAACATTTTCCCGCTCCAACGAAGAAAGAGGGACTTCTTAATTTTTGATGATGATTCTTATAGACACATACTCATTAATTTTTTTAATTCATGTTTTACTACTAAATTGATTTAATTTAATTTTTTATTTTATTAACATTAAAATAAAATATAATATATGATATATAAAACTTTTAGTGGCACTTTTTCTACCACTAATAATTATAAAAACAGTTTCATAAAATGATTAATGCCAAGGGTAACATTGTCATAGAAAAAAAAGTGTCATTGTATCTCTAAAAACTTATAGTGGCAGAAAAAAAAGTGTCACTAAAAATAGGCTATAGTGGCACAAAATCAAAGTGTCACTAAAACTTTGTGCCACTAAATGTAATATTATTTGTAGTGCCCACTATTAAGGAGCGGTGTGAACAAACCGATTAAGGGGGTGATTGTTGGATTAATCGGGTTTGTTGTAATCCAAACGTGCAGCAAAAGATTTGGTCTTTATCTTTGACCGGGTTTTATGGAATATAAAAGTGACTGGCTACATTTTAGCATAATATCGTGGGCTAGATGATAGCTATTATTCAGCTCTTTATTTAGTATAAATAGATGTACTTTGTTTTTGTTTAATATATAGGAAGATGTAGACGTTTATAATCAGGTTCCATTTTGCAAATTTACTTTCACATACATATTTACTTGACTAGTGTGTGTTGTGTGTGTGTTTTGTTGAGCCTGAACCTAGAATAGACTGCTTAAAAAATATGTAAATGAAACCAAATTGTCTACAGTAAACAAATCTTTCAAGCTGATTCAGATTGAAACCAAGATTAAAACCCTCACAAATCAAACCCATTCTAATATTCTATTGTCTTGCATCACGATTCATTAAATACTGGAATGATTCAAAATCTTCATATATGATATATATTGCAACACATGTCAAAGAATAACTGAACTGATTAGAATACTAATGAACAATCATTACGAACTATCAATGGTATCAATTATCAAACATAACAGAGATGAGAGAATACAAAATTAATTTATGCTCTAATTCAAATACCATTCATCCAATTTGCATTAAATTTAAAAGATGTTACAAAGTTTCCTTAGCAAAGACAAAAAGAAAAAACCACGGGGCCGATTGGCTAGGGGAGGTGTGGACATGGTGGACAGGACTGTTGGGTTAATCGGTTATTTGAAAAACAATAGGAAAGTTTCTTTTTTATTAGTTTTGTTTCCTAGTTTTAGAATAAGAGTCGAAGTCTTTTTTTATGGTTTTAGAGGTTCATAAGGTATCTAATTAATTAGTATAAAAGTAGGCGTCATTTGTTTTAATGAAATTACTAGTTCTTTCTTTGTTTTAACTTTAAGAGCAAGTTTTCTTCCACTACATTCTTCTTCTGTTTCCGTGTTCCTTGCACCACAAAAGAAAACTAGTTTATTTTCTTACACTTGGTATCAGAGCGCGGTTTCGTTGAAGGGGGTGTGATTCGAGGTTGATTAGAAGCAACCCCGATTTCTTTTAATCGGGCTTGTTAGAGACTAACCGGAGGCGCGGAGTAAACGAACGGGAAGACGTCAAAGCGGGTGGCTTTGATTCGGTTCGTTTTGCGGGTGACGGAAGACTGTAAAGGTGGTCGTGACCTTGTCTTGTTGTCCGGTGGAAGAGTGCTCTCGGAACAAGCTTGATTAAAGAAGTCGGGGTTAAGGAGAAAAGGATGTCGTTGGTTAAAGAAGGAGGTTCGTTGATATATCAAGTTCCGGTTTTGACTCCAACGAATTATCCGGTGTGGGCGGTTAAAGTCAAGTCGATTATGGATGCACATGGCATATGGGAGACGGTCGAACCGAAAACGTTAGATAAAGCACCAGATTAAAAGAAGTCAAAACAAGCTCTTGCTTTTTTGTTTCAAGCGATACCCGAAGACATGGTGTTGCAAATGGCGAGTTACACCGACCCAAAACAAGTGTGGGATGGGCTAAAAACACGGTATTTGGGAGTGGATCGGGTGAGAACGGCTCAACTTGCAACCTTAAAAAGGGAGCTTGAAAGTTTACGCATGAAGGAGGATGAAACGGTTGATGATTTTGTGACGAAATTATCCGGTTTAGCGTCAAAAGTAAGGAGTCTTGGATATGAGCTTGAAGAAGGTGATTTGGTAAAAAGGTTACTAGATTCGATGCCTAAGTCGTTCCTCCAAATCGTGGCTTCAATAGAGCAATGTTTCGAGTTGGATTCAATGTTATTCGATGAAGCGGTTGGTAGATTGAAGGCGTACGAGGAGCGTATAAGAGGAACCGAGAAAGTGGAGGACACTCAAAGTGGGTTGTTGTTGGCTAGTGACGAAAAGTCACATGTTTGTAAGCATTGTGACAATGGACGTTCAAATCGGGATGACTTTGGACGTGGCCGGGGAAGAGGTCGGGGGTCCGGGAGAATTCGAGATGGTAATGAACGTGTCCGGGATAAAAGTCACGTTAGATGTTCCAAATGTGGTGAGCTTGGTCACTATAAAAACGAGTGTCCTAAATGGGAAAAGGAAGAAGCGGGTCTAATCGAAGAGGAACCGACATTGTTTTGAACGAGTGGCTCGTATGACCAAACCGATTAAGGGGGTGATTGTTGGGTTAATCGGTTATTTGAAAAGCAATAGAAAGTTTCTTTTTTATTAGTTTGTTTCCTAGTTTTAGAATAAGAGTCGAAGTCTTTTTTTTATGGTTTTAGAGGTTCATAAGGTATCTAATTAATTAGTATAAAAGTAGGCGTCATTTGTTTTAATGCAATTACTAGTTCTTTCTTTGTTTTAACTTTAAGAGCAAGTTTTCTTCCACTACATTCTTCTTCTGTTTCCGTGTTCCTTGCACCACAAAAGAAAACTAGTTTATTTTATTACAAGGACCTCGTCGGGCAGCAAATTGATCCACAACCGGAAATCCATCGGTCCAACACCATTTTCAACATAAACACTAGAATCCGGCTGATCAAGCAGAAGTAGGGTTTCCATGTAGTAACCAACAGAAAATGAACCTTGGATTCCATCAATCCCAATATCATCGATGTGTTGTGAGCATGGTTCATAGACAAACAACGAGCTCTTTCTCCACCCAGCAACGTCATCTTGCCTTTCAATTAGAAGTTCACTCCTGTCTGTAAATCCCAGTACTGTAGTCAAGCATATTGCACGTGGTACATTGCTAATGGTGAATAGCTTTGTACATGAATTTGGAACACCATCATCCACGATCCATACAGCCCAATCTCCCATCCCCATAGTATTGTATTTAAGCACAACAAGAGCCTCGGACACCTTAGAGATGGAAAAATATGGGCAAGGCTGTCGTGCAAAACTGTCAGGTATGTCTTTCGTTCTAAATTCATGAGTAGTCATATCAAACGACACAATAAGAGGTTTCTCCTTCTCAACATACGCAACAAAATAAATAAACCTACCAACAACTACCTGACGCCGTGGGAATTTAAGAGAATTAATTTGCGGATTGTAAGACAGAACTCTCCAACTACGTGTCCTTAATGTAAAAACCTCAACAACCCCAACATTAATCTTAAGAATCGTAGGGTCACTAGTAATAGGACAAACTCCAAAACCAAGAACGTAGGATTTAGGCATATCTATCGCCAGATGCACAGTTACACCAACTGATTTTCTTATTGAAGGATTACAAAGAACAGCCATCTTCCTTCCGAGAGGTTTGTGATCATTTTGATATGGATCATTAGCAGACAAGCAGACCAATCCATGTGAGCTACCGATAACGCGTGATGGCCTAAGTAGTTTAGCGAGCAAAGGAAGTGTCGGACGGATCTCTTGTGGGACGAAGGTCTCATCATCAACCAATGAAGCATATGTTTCGTCAGGCTGTTCGCTCTCTGGATCCTTGTACGTTACAAGTAGACTCTGTAGCTGAGTTTGGTGGGCGCCATAGGCAGCAATGAACTCAGAGCTGTCGATCAAAGATTTCCATGGTTTTGAAACGGATCTTAGTTGAAGCACTGACTTCACAGGAAGTCGTTTGAAGATTTCCACTAGGATTTCCGAAGGAATGTAGTCTGACATTTTGATCCTGGGAGGTGATTGGAATATGAAGGATTTAGAACTGAAATCTCTCCAAGACTTTGTATGGTTAAAAAAATAGGGTTTTCAAATCCTTTGGTCCTGGGATTTTAGAAATCCTTTATGGTATAGCCCGAGAGCTTTCAGAAATCCCTGCCTTCAAGTAAAGATTTCACACAAAATCACTATGACAACGATATCCTAAAAACCCACCTTCAACAACAATATAAAGAAAAAAAAAGTTGTTTAGCAAATTCTACAAAACCCCATTAAAAAAAATGTGAGTGTAAACCTACTTGGGTGTGAACCTGCCATGAGTAGCTGTACCACCCTCTTTAGTTGACAAATGAATCCCTCCTTTGTTGACAATAAGAACTCAAATGGCAACTTCGTATGTTCACAATAATGAACACAATAAATGGTAGCAGTAGTAATTGTAGGCTTGTTTAAGTATAAATAGAGGCTCTAATATCAGTTGTAAGACACCACAAAACAGAGAGTGTAGTGTGTAATACTTAGAGTGAGTATTAGAGGGTTGTTTCTTTTTTTTTGTAATATTGAGTGTGTAAGCTCTTCTCTTTTGTTCTAGTTCTGAATTAAAGTGTGTTTCAACCCCAACAAGTGGTATCAGAGCTTGGTTAAGCTCCGGGGAAAACATTCTCTGTTTTTTGGTCGAAATTTTTTTGTCTCAAAAACAATTTCGGAGTACACCATTGGAAAGGTCTCGTTCTGAGGATTCCGAAAATATATTTTTTTTAAATTTTTTGACCACCGGAAGGCCTCCAAATCACCGGTCAAAGTTGGTCAAATCTGCCGGAAAAGTCGCCGGAAAAACCAGGGTTCGCCGGAGAAGACAGTACTGTAGCAGCACTGTAGCAGTGACATCAGCAGTGACGTCAGCAGCTGACCACAGTTCTGGAAATTACAGTTTAGCCCCTGTTCTTCCGGAAAGTGCAATTTAGCCCCTGTTTTTCAGAAAAATTACAATTTTGGTCCCGCTTTTCAGAAAAATTTCAATTTAGCCCCTGTTTTACTTCTGTAAAAGTTCTGTTTGCCCCCTGAACTTCTGAAAAGTTCATATTGGTCCCCGTACTTCAAAAAAAAATATTCTTACTCGTGTATGCCCAAGTATATGCCAAGAATGACTACACCAACCTCGTCATCTTCTCAAGCCGAAGTTGAAAGTTTTCAAAGGACCGGGAAAGACGGTAGCGTTACGTTACACTATCCAATGCTCACGAAGATGAACTACGCGGTGTGGGCCATAAAAATGCGAGTGAATTTACAAGCACAAGGAGTATGGGATGTAATTAAAAATGCAGAAACGGACGAACGTAAAGATCGGATGGCTCTTGCGGCTATTTATCAAGCAATTCCAGAGGACGTACTTCTGATGTTAGCTGAGAAGGACACAGCTAAAGAAGCATGGGAAACGCTCAAGATGATGCACATGGGAGCCGATCGGGTCAAGGAGGCTAAAGCTCAAACCTTGAGAAGTGACTTCGAGGTGATCCGGATGAAAGACAGTGAATCGGTAGATGATTTTTCCATGAGATTGAATACTATCGTAACTGGTATTCGATCTCTTGGTGAAAAGATTGAAGAAATTACGGCTGTGAAGAAGTTTTTGCGAGCCGTACCGATACGATTTATACAAATCGTAACATCGATCGAGCAATTCGGAGATTTGAAGAATATGACGGTGGAAGAAGTTGTGGGTCGTCTTAAGACCCATGAAGAGAGACTTCGAAGCTATGGAGAAAAAGAAGAAAGACCTTCTCTATTGCTTACACATGCCGAGTGGGAATCTCGTTCGAAGCAAACTGGCGAGAGAAACTCGTCAAACACTTCAAGAGGACGAGGAGGACATGGTAACCGAGGCCGGGGACGAGGCCGAGGTCGTGGACGTGGCCAAGGAGGTGGTCGCGAGTACAATACAAATCGGAATGACCATAATCCTTCTCGAAAGGATAAAAGTAAAATCAAATGCTTTACTTGTGAACAATTTGGTCATTATGCTTCGGAGTGTCCAAACAAGAATCGAGGTGAGGAGGCAAAACCTCACTCAAGCCAACGAAGAAGAGCCTATTTTAATGATGGCAACCTCACAAGAATATGCACACAAAACAGTGTCTCTAAGAGAGAAGATTTGTGTTAATCTTCTTGTATCGAGAGAAAGTCGAGTCGAGTCTGAGGTATGGTATCTCGACAACGGTGCTAGCAATCACATGACTGGAGACCGCTCAAAGTTTCGCGAACTAGATGAGCACGTTACGGGCCATGTGAAATTTGGGGATGGTTCGACCGTCGCTATTTTGGGAAAAGGGTCGATTTTATTCGATAGCAAAAATGGCGACCAAAGACTCCTTAATGAGGTATATTTCATTCCAAGTCTAAAAAACAATATTATTAGTCTTGGACAAATGACGGAGGAAGGGAGTCGGGTCATAATGGATGGGTCGGATCTGACATTGTTTGACAGAAACAAAACTCTACTTTTGAGAGTTAAACGATCCCCAAACCGGTTATATAAAACTCCTTTAAGGACCGGTAGACCGACTTGTCTTTTAGCAACAAAAGACGAACCAGCTTGGATATGGCATTCTAGACTCGGTCATGTTAACTTTCTCGCCTTAAAGAAGTTGTCCGAAAAGAATATGGCAATCGGAGTCCCAAAGATTGAGCACCCAAACCAAGTATGTGAAGGGTGCGTTCTTTCCAAACAAACCCGAATTCCTTTCCCGGATCATGCAGCTTTTCGAGCTCAAAAACCTCTACAACTTGTTCATGCGGACTTATGTGGTCCGATCACACCTACGTCTGTTGGAGGGAGTAAATATTTTCTCCTTTTAGTAGACGATTTTAGCCGGTGGATGTGGGTTTACATGCTATCGGAGAAGTCTCAAGCCTTGAGCGCTTTCAAACGGTTCAAGTTGATGGTTGAAAAGAATTCGGGTTATCAAATAAAGACACTTCGAACGGACCGAGGGGGAGAGTTCACTTCAAAAGAATTCTCATTATTTTGTGAAGAAAATGGTATTCAAAGGCATCTTACGACACCATATTCGCCTCAACAGAACGGAGTTGTAGAAAGGCGAAATCGGACCGTTATGGACATGGCAAGAAGTCTGCTCAAAGGTAGAAATGTTCCGGGAGAGTTTTGGGGAGAGCGGTTAGACATGCAGTTTATCTTCTCAACCGCCTGCCAACAAAAGTACTTCCCGACAAGACGCCTTATGAAACATGGTTTGGCAAAAAGCCCAACCTTGAACATCTAAAAGTTTTTAGTTGTGTTGCTTTTGCTAAACTTGTAGGTGGTCACTTGAAGAAGCTTGATGATCGAAGTAAGAAGATGGTGTATTTAGGTGTGGAAGATGGAACTAAAGGCAACCGTTTGTTTGATCCACAAGACCGAAAGTTGCGAGTTAGTCGCGATGTTGTTTTTGACGAAAAAGAAGAATGGAATTGGTACAAAAACAAAGAAGAAGAGATGGCGACTCCTAAGACCTTTACCATAATTGAACCACAACCCCAAATACACCTCGAAAACACCTCAAAATGACCCCGAAATCAATCCGGAACAACCAAACAGCCCAGGAATCGATGCTATCCAAGTTGGACAACCATATGCTGAATTTGACGAGCCTGAACCAGCTCCACATACTCCTGTCTCAGCCCCGTTTTCTTCAACCTCGCCCCATATGGAAAGCCCTTCTAGTGAGATTGGGCCAAGGGGATTGCGTCTGTTAACCGATATTTATTCTGAAACCGAAAATGTGTTCCTTGAACCCGGAGAATTGTTGATGATTGCAGCGGATCAACCCTTGAATTTTAAAGAGGCGGTAACCTCTAAGGCATGGCAGGAGGCTATGCAAACATAGTTGGATGCAATCGAGAAGAACAAGACATGGCAACTTACCGATTTGCCATCCGGACACAAAGCAATCGGTTTGAAATGGGTGTTTAAAGTGAAGAAAGAAACTTGGGAAAAGTGGTGAAGCATAAAGCTCGACTTGTAGCAAAAGGATTTGTACAAAAGGAAGGAGTCGACTTTGATGAAGTTTTTGCACCGGTAGCACGACTTGACACCGTAAGGCTCATTCTTGCCTTAGCAGCGCAACATGGGTGGGTTGTCCACCATCTCGATGTTAAATCGGCTTTTCTCAATGGAGATCTCAAAGAGGAGGTTTATGTCACCCAACCAGAAGGATATGTTGATAAAGCAAACAGTCACAAGGTGTTCAAGCTTTATAAAGCTCTTTATGGTCTACGACAAGCTCCTCGAGCTTGGAACATTCGTTTGGATAAAAGCTTAAAAAGGCTTGGTTTTACAAAAAGTTCACAAGACCCAGTTGTTTACAAAAGGAACTCAAAAGACAAAATTCTTATTGTTGGTGTCTATGTTGATGACTTGATCATTACCGGGTCTAACACTAATGATGTTGTCGAATTCAAAGAACAAATGAAGAAAGAATTCGAAATGAGTGACTTGGGATTACTTTCTTACTACCTTGGAATCGAAGTTTCGCAAAAGAAGTGGGGAATATCTTTGCGACAAACGGCTTATGCAAAGAAGATTTTAGAGCAATTTGGGTTGCTGGATTGCAATCCGACAACGTCACCAATGGAACCTAAGTTGAAGGTTAAGAAGGATGAAGATGGTGAAAAAGTTGATCCAACTGAATATAGGCGAGTGGTAGGTTGTTTGAGGTACTTGACTCACACTCGACCAGACCTGTCATTTTCGGTTGGAATTGCAAGTCGTTTCATGGAGGAACCAACCACTTTGCATTTCCAAGTTGTGAAACACATCTTGCGATACGTAAAAGGAACCGTTGATTATGGAATCAACTATGGAAGAGGTCGTGAAATTGAAGATTTGGTTGGTTTTACCGATAGTGATCTTGGAGGTGACCCTGTTGATAGCAAGAGCACAAGTGGAATGATTTTCTATCTGGGAAGGAATGCGATAACTTGGCAATCCCAAAAGCAAAAGATTGTTGCTTTGTCCACGTGTGAAGCCGAGTTCATGGCAGCTACAACAGCAGCATGTCAAGTCATTTGGCTTGCTAATCTCGTGAAGGAGCTCACGGGACATCATATTATGCCTATCACCTTATATGTCGATAACAAGTCAGCAATCGCATTGATGAAAAATCCTGTGTTTCATGGTCGAAGCAAACACATCGACATTCGTTATCACTTCATACGAGAATGTGTTGAACGTGGGCAAATTATAGTGGAATATGTCAACTCGAAGGATCAACGGGCGGACATCTTTACAAAGGCTTTAGCATACGTGAAACATGGTGAAATGCGAAACATGATCGGAGTGACGAATCTCGAGCCAAGTTAGGTTTAAGGGGGAGAATGTGAGTGTAAACCTACTTGGGTGTGAACCTGCCATGAGTAGCTGTACCACCCTCTTTAGTTGACAAATGAATCCCTCCTTTGTTGACAATAAGAACTCAAATGGCAACTTCGTATGTTCACATAATGAACACAATAAATGGTAGCAGTAGTAATTGTAGGCTTGTTTAAGTATAAATAGAGGCTCTAATATCAGTTGTAAGACACCACAAAACAGAGAGTGTAGTGTGTAATACTTAGAGTGAGTATTAGAGGGTTGTTTTTTTTTTTTTTTTTTTTTGTAATATTGAGTGTGTAAGCTCTTCTCTTTTGTTCTAGTTCTGAATAAAAGTGTGTTTCAACCCCAACAAAAAATAATTCCTTCATGAAATTTCAGAATTAGTTATGCGCGCTCTTAATTAGTTATGCTGTTAATTGACTAAACTAAAAGAATAATTAGATAGAATACCTCATGGAACATCATTGGTTATCTAATGTAATATTGTGCAGATAAAATCGAAGTTAATGAAACAACTTGGAATTAAAAGCATTTAACACACTCATCTGAGGGGTGAGCAGGGGCAGGAAATTGTACAAACCTGATTGACTTCAACAATTATGAAAAGCAAAACCAATAGGGAGAAATGTACTCGATCTTCTTAATAGATAAAACGGAAGAGCAAGAGAAGGGTTTTATTAATGGAAGAACTTCAAGAGAATTACAGTGTAAATCAAGATTTGTGAAAAGTGTAAGGAAAGTAGGAAACTTCCTTTGAAACTTCGTGGGTGGAATAATATGTGACCAGAAAATGACACCTTACTAAAAACGGAACTATATACATGCACTCAAGTTTAATCACTTTGGGAATTACCAGCTCAATTATATTTAAATAAAAGAATGGAAAGCTTTAGATGAAATTATTTATTCACTTCCAATTAATACGCAGGTGACCAGAAAATGACTCCTTACTAAAAACGAAACTATATTCATACACTCATGTTTAATCAGCTCAATCATACTTAAATAAAAGAATGGTGAAAGTTTTAGATGAAATTTTCATCCCTCCCAAATAATAAGCAAATATAAAAATGGAAATATGTTAAGTCTTTGCAATGAAATAAAAATTTTAAAAACTGATATAAATTCAATTTTAAATTATACAAAACTAGGTGATAGGTCTGTACACGAGCTTGAATATATTAATATTTCTACTACATATAGACATACGAATGAAACTAAAATCAAAAAATTACTAAATATAGCAAACACAATATATATATATATATATATATATATATAATATATATATATATATATATATATATATTATATATATATATATATATATATATATATATATATGGTTAAGATCGGTTGAGAACTCAAAGTTTCCCGAGAACCCGAGAACTAAAAGTGGAGCGTTGGATCAAAAATAATTCGTTAAGAATATGATCGTCATCTTACCAATCTCACTTAATGTTTAATTTTTTTGTGTTATTTAATATATTAACATAAATGTCTAAAAATTAACAAAATAACTCAAAATTTCGGATTTATTTTTTTTTTTAAAAATAATTTTCGATTTTTTTAAAAAATGGATATTTTTTAATTTTTTTTCAAAAAACATGATTTTTTCAAAAAAATGAAAAAAAATATTTTTGTAAAAACTGCATCTTTTTTCAAAAAAAACTGCATTTAAAAAAAAAACTGCATTTTTTTTAAAAAAAATTGTATTTTTTTTAATAAAAATGTATTTTTTTTAAAAAAAAACAGCATTTTTTCTAGAAAAAAACTGTATTTTTTTTCAAAAAAACTTCATTTTTTTTCTGTAGAAAAACTGCATTTAAAAAAAAACTACGATTTTTATAAAAAAGTGCGATTTTTTTCAAAACTGCATTTTTTTAACAAAAAAATCAACGTTTTAGGTGCATATATGCATATTTCTTATACTATAATATTCGTAAGTAAATTATAAAAAATCTCATTTTTATTAATCAATCTATAAACATAATACAAGTATTTTATTCGATACAAAATAAAATATAAAAAAACTACAAAGATTCATAGTGTTATTATTTCTTCATATCAAAATTTCCATATTTTCTTCAATTTATCACTTTTCACCTCTTCAATATTTTCAAAAAATTCTTCAAAATCTACAAGAAAAAATAAAAAAATTTGATTAATGCAAGAACACGCACATGTATATATCATGTAAAATTCACATGTGATTATATAATGTGATATTCACATGTGATTGTATCTTTTAAGATTTAAATGTGAAATTCACAAGAAAATTTTAAAAAATAATTAACGAAGAACACTTGCACAAAATGCATGTGTGCATATAGAGGTAATTCATATGTGATTCACTTGTGATTTACATGTGAATCACATGTAATTCACTTGTGATTTACATGTGAATCACATGTAATTGATATGTGATTCACTTGTGATTTACATGTGAATTACATGTGATTAATATGTGATTTACATGTGATTTACATGTGAATCACATATAATTCATATGTGATTAACTTGTGAATCACATGTAATTCATAGGTAATTCACTTGTAATTTACATGTGAATCACAAATTAATCATATGTGAATTACATGTGAATCACATGTAATTCATATGTGAATTACATGTTATTTACATGTGAATCACATGTAATTCATATGTGATTTACACGTGAATCACATGTAATTCATATGTAATTTACACGTGAATCACATGTAATTCATATGTGATTCACTTGTGATCTACACGTGAATCACATGTAATTCATATTTACATGTGAATCACAAGAGAATCATATATGAATTACATGCGATTAAAATGTGAGTCACATGTGAATCATATGTGAATTACATGTTATTTACATGTGAATCACATGTAATTCATATGTGATTCACTTGTGATTTACATCACATATAAATTACATGTGAATCACATGTAATTCATATGTGATTCACTTGTGATTTACATGTGAATCATATGTAAATTACATGTGATTTACATGTGAATCACATGTAATTCATATGTAAAGTTTGCAACCAAAATACTTCAATAAAATTATATTTTCATTTATATATTATACTAGTGGATTAGTTTATTGGTCACCGAATCAGAAATCAATGATGGAACAGAAAATATCTTAAAGATTAATTAAACGTTTTCCATGATATGGGGCCATTTGAGATTTGGTAACTTTCTATAAAAGGCTTTAAATAAATTGTTAACTTTCCATAGATTTTTCAATGAAAGTTGTTTGAGATTTATGAACTTTCTAGAAAAGCTATTATTTAAAATCTCAAGTGGCTTTCATGGAAAAGTCAACAAACGACAAGATGTTTTTTTTTTTTTTTTTTTTTTTTGGAATGAAGAGGGAAAATATAAGGGGTTTTGTAGCAATTTGATATGGTGGTGTAGGGTATACATGTGAATCCTGATATAAGTGTAGGTATTTCAAGGATTCCTTGTAAAATCCACAGTGATAAAGGAGAGCACCATAATCTGTAGTTCCATACAATCAGCTTTAAGAATAATAAGCTGCTAACATGCTGTTCAAGAAAAACAAAACAAATCACACTATTATAAATGACATGTATCAAACTACAGATGAAAGCAATACAACATATCCATAGAAAACAATATACCACAGGGACTACTTTTGTAATTTAGTCTAGAAAGAAACAGTGGTATGAATGCCTAGACCTTAAAAAACAGAAATTCCCTTTTTAGGAAGGGTGAAATGTGATGAAAAATGGCATATATCTACAAGTGACATACCTTCTCCAATTCTTGTTGGTATAAATCTGTTCGATAATATGCAGTTGACAGCAGTAAATTTGGATTAAATGAGCCAAACAGACTGCAAAACAACAAAGAAAAATGAAGTCAAATAGGGCGAGAAAACTTTAACAGGTTTTTCAAAATGCAACATTTTTTTATACCTGATTAATGATGCATTGTCATACATGTTGAGCCTCTCAAAGAAAGCTAACATATAAAATGTGAACCAATCCACAACAGAGACACCAACCTATATGTATCACAATAATCTCTACAGAATTAGCAAGAAAAGCAAAAGAAATCGTGGAGTATTCATGTATATCAAATTACAAATTTTTGAAGTTGATAGAATCCAGATAATACTCAGATCAGAATCTAAGTGATATGAATATAAGTTTTCCCCTTTCATGCTACTCCCAATAGCCAAAACACCAGGTGAATGGAGCTGAAAATAAAGAAAATATCCACACTGTTTTAGAATTCTCAATAAATTTATGTTTTCATTATTTCAATGCTTTATGTAAGAAAAGGATCCAGACCTGGGAAAAGAGGGTAGCAGCTTGACATGTATCTACCATAATCAACAGTTCCTTGAACCTAAAAACATGAACACATAAGAGAACAAGTAAGTCATAATTCCACAACCAATGACAGATGAGATAGCATTAAAAATTGGTTCTGACCTATGCTTTTCTTTCATCTGTTTGACTGCATCAGCCAAATCATGACTCTGAAGTTCATCAGAGTCTTGAAATTTCAGAAACTCATCTCCTCTATGTCCTGTCATGTATAACAGTATATGGCTTCCTTCATCACTCAAAAGACGTTTGGATCTTGGAACAACATTTTCATGGCGACCTGTTAAAACTCTCAAAAAGTTCTCAACTGTCACTTCATAGCCTCGATAATCTACAGTGTAGTAAAATCAGCACATCTTCTCTAAAAACAGCTATGTAAATAAGTAAAGGGCTGTAGAAATTAATTGGACACAAAAATTGACCTCAACATTATCTCCATACAAGTTAAGCCTATGGTTTTCATTGTTGAAAACTTGTGCAGGGTATTTGTTTCGGGAATTGCAAGCCATGTCATCTGCTAACATAAGAATGATCCTCTTATCAGGTATCCCTAATCGTTTCACAATCCTAAACAAGAAGATTAAGAGAAAGAATGACATACAATTGTCAATAGAGCGTAAAGAAGATCGAGTCTTGTTAATCGGGAAGCGAATGGGATGATTACTGGGATTTTGGTTTGGCTCATGTAATTCAACGCCATGGAAGTTAAAAGAGGAGGGAATTTCAGTCCGGCGTAGTTTTCAGGTTGATCGTTGAAAGCGCCATCGCCAAATTCTTGTAATTTCACTGTGTGTTTGAAGAAATCAGAAAGGTCTTTGAGGTCGCATTCGCATTTTCACTGATAGTAACGATCCGTTGCAGTTTTTTGCGAAGAGTTCTAGATCATTGAAATGAAACTTAACCAGATCTGTTATGTAGAAGTTTAACGATTCCATGGATGTGTTACGGAAAGCTAGCTCATGTACCATTCGCCGTCATTTTCGACGATTAAGCACTCTTGTAGATACATAATTCTCAAATTGTTACACCGCTTACCGATTTGGAGTAATCCGTCTGTTGAAAACCCTGAGCACAAATCAAGGTTCAAAACCCGAAGTTATTGACCACGGGTTCGGGTTAATAAATCTATATCGGAATCACGAACAATCAATCGTCGGAAATGGATAGATTTCAAGGAATTCAATGAACTCGAGATTTCTCTAATGACCTAATGCTTCATTGTAGATGATCGATTCCACTCCAACTGGACATTCGATAGGACTATCTTCTCCAAATCGACAAGTCAAGATCAGATTCAGAAGAAAACGACCGACCTAATGCTTCATTGTAGATGTTCCGATGAACTATACTCACATCCTGTCACACTTCAACGACGATTTCAGGATTTGAGATCGGAGGTGTGATGAAGGGTAGAGAGAGAGAGAGAGAGAGAGAGATGAGTTGACGTGATTAAATGCCCCTAAAATGTCCTTGATTTATTTTAATAAGATACCCCCGCCCCATTTTATTTTCAGATATTTACGAAAGTGCCACGAAGCATCCTAACCCTCTATTATTTTAATCTAACGGTTATTATTTAGTTCTCAGGTTCTCGGGAAACTTTGAGTTCTCAAATGATCATTCCTCTCTCTCTCTCTCTCTCTCTCTATATATATATATATATATATATATATAATATATATATATATATATATATAGGGCTAGGTTATTTTGTTTCTTACATTTATTGTGTGCTACAATGCACCAATAGAAATTTAGTAAATTAAATAATTATTTAATTAAATAAATATAGATATTAAATGATTTCCATAATTATATGTATATTAAATGATATCCATAATTATAATTCTCTTTTTATGGAAACTAATTAAATCTGTCATAAATGTCAGCAATAACATTCTTTCAGAATGAATTCGCATCTAGGTTTTTATATATGAGTTCGTATTTTGTTTCAGGACCCACTCACTTAAAATACAATAAAGTTGCATTGAATATGAAGAACGAGAATGTATTCTACTATAATACACTCTCATTCTGCTGGAATACACTCTCATTCTTCTAGATATGAATTCATTCTGAAAGAATATTATTGTTGACATTAATGACGAATTTAATTAGTTTCCATAAAAATGAGTTATAAGTATGGATAGCATTTAATATACATATAATAAATACTACATTCCTATTGGTGCATTCTAGCACACAATAGATGTGAGAAACATTTGAACCTACCTCTCTCTCTCTCTCTCTCTCTCTCTATATATATATATATATATATATATATATATATATATATATACCATATATTGTGAAGTATACTTAAAGATCATCAATTCAATCTTGATGACCAATGTTCTATATATAAACTTTGAAGTACTTCCTTGTCGACAACATTAGTTGTTGTGTTTGATAGGTTCTCTTCTTCATCCATGAATACCAACTTTAATTTTATTGTTATTCCAAAACACAACACCAAGGGGAATTGTTTACAGATAAATTTTGAATGACATTTACTTGTCACATGAATTTAAAAGGATCATGGGTATGGGCGTTCGAGTTCCAACATTAATTTCATAAGTCATTTATGCTTCAATCACTTGTGTTTCGTGGTTAATTATACGCATGCGTATCCCATTACGTAGGCCTATATTTTTATTAAGGTTATGCAAATACATTATCGGTGCACATACTTTCAACATTAATTCATGGTCTGGTATTTCCGATTATTTGATGGAATACATTAGGTGAGTACAACACTTCGTTAGAGAATTGTATTACTAAACGTTACACAATTTATCCGAACTTAGATATATTTGTAAATCAACGGACATCTGATTAAGAATATTCTCGTTTATCTGGCCTACTTCATTCATATATGCCAAAATAGCACATTGTTGAAAGTAGATGCTACGTGTGAGCTGAGCCATTAACATTTCATACTATGTTTTCAAACTTGTTCGATATTGTATGTTTACAACTTTTATGATAATATTTACGATATTTGTTTATGGATTAATTTATTTTGATTTGTCAAAAATTTACCAGCAATTAGAAATTGCATTTCAGGAAATTTATGTAAGTTGCTACCATTTGTTTCTCAATATTTTCCACCTCTATCAATGGACGATTTTCAATGATATAATCCGAAACTTGTATTCCCACAAATATAGTAAAAAAGATATCATATCAATAGTTAAGCATAATATCAATACTTAGTATATCTCAAATCAAAAAAGGATTTAAAATATTAATAAAGTTGAACATTTTTTCATATAAACTGCAGATTTTGTTGAAATCTAAGACTATGTTGGATCTACATGCTCAAGAATTATTATTGAGTTATATTGCTATAACATATGATCTTATAAGGTCACACCTTACTCAGGTTGTACTTATTAAGTATTTGACTATTAATAAATAAATTCAACTCTTGTGCTTAGTTAGAGAAAATTAATGTTTTTGAAAATAATAATAAAAGAGAAGGCAAACTAGTAATTATATCAAATTGTATGATTAATAAGTCATGTACAAATGTTTTGAACACTATGGTTAACCATGGACTGACTAGTTGTGTGGTCTTGAAGTTAAATAAACTAGCTTATCATTTTTGTCTCTTGTGAAGACCATAATGTCGCAACTTTTGATGAAGTATGGAGGTTTCTTGTTAACTTCCATGCCTTGTCTCCTATGCCTCTCTTTGTAGAGTATTGTTTTTAGAATAAAATAAGGAGTAGCCTTTTTGCATGTATGGTATTTATAAGAAACTGCTCTAGTCAAAAGTTACTAGTTTTTTCGTCTAAGACTCTATGACATCCCTATTTTTACGGTCTGGAAAAGACCATTTTATTTATATTTATTTTTAAGCACATATTATTCTTTATATAGCAGAATTTGCGAGGCCTCAATGGGTTGATTCCTTGTTGCTTCGGAAGTTCAGCAACACGAAGCCACCGAAGTTCGACGGGATCCAGGACGTGATTGCTTCTATGAGATGAATTTATGATATCGAGGGATGTTTCTATACTTGTTCATGCCCTGAGGACCTGAAGGTTCGATTTGCGCTGAACCAGATTCGCTCGGGAGTGAAGGACTGGTGGAGGTTTATGACGACTGATTTTTCTCCTGCAGACCATGCAACAGTGATATGGGTGAGGTTCATACAGCTATTCCGAGATGAGTAAGTTCCCCAGGTGGAGAGGGAGAGGTTGGCCAAGGAGTTTCTGTCTCTCAAGCAGAAGACAAAAACCGTGACAGAGATTACGAGGTTGTTTCATGAGAGGGCGTTGTTTTGCCCCGAGCACGTGTCTACGGAGCAGACACGTGTAAGCCGGTACTTGAGCATATTGAGGAGAGATATTCGGGAGTTCGTGGCGAACTCATCATATCGGACATTGGTTGAGCTACAAACCAATGCCAGGAGGAGGGAGATTGAGTTGGATTTTCAGGCTAGAGAGGAGAGGGAGTCTCAGGGTAGAGACAGGAGACCACTACAGTTGCAGCTGGCGACCAAGAGGGCTAAGCCCGCTGATACGAGAGCAGGAGGCTAGAAGGGCCACACTTGTGGCAAGTGCGGCAAGAGCCATGAGGGATCTTGTCGATCAGGGATTTGTTACAAATGTGGCAAGGAGGGGCATATGGCGAAGGACTGCCCCAAGGGATTTTCGGTTTGCTTTCATTGCAACTAGACCGGCCACCGGAAGGTCGGCTGTCCTCAACTCACACAGGGATCAGCCCAGGCTTCTGCTCCTGCTACTTTGCGCGTTACTGATGGCCGGCCGGTGAAGGCCGAGGCTCCGAGAGATCATGGGAGAGTATTCCAGCTGACTGCGGAGGAGGTCCGCGTCGCGCCTTATGTTGTTGCTGGCACGTATCTCCTTATTTATGTTAGTTTGAGATTTGTTTATGCTTATACTGTGTTGCATATAAGTATTTTTCTTGTGAGTTTTGTGCCTGCCTTGGTGTTATTTGACTCAGGTGCGAGTCGATCTTTCGTGTCTTTATCCTTTAGTCGTCACATTAGTGTTAGAAGCAAGGCTTTGAGTCGACCACTGAGGGTTTCTATAGCCGATGAGCATGCGGTTTTTGCCACTGATGTATTTCGGGGATGTGTATTACATATTTTTGGTGTTGAGTTTGCGATAGATCTGGTGTCGATAGCAATGAGTGATGTCTGTGTCATAATGAGCATGGATTGGTTGAGACAGTTTGGAGATGTGATTAACTGTGAGCGTCAGATGGTGACCATACGAGACCCTAGTGGGGGAGTACTTACTGTGTATGGCGAGGGAACTAGATCTTGATCATCTTTCTGCTTTGCCGCCACGGCGAGGCAGAGTCTACAGCAGGGGTGCATGGGATTTTTAGTGTACGTGTTGGATACGTTAGTTGCCAATGAGAGGCCGAGTTCTATTTGCGATGTGCCAGTAGTGAGTGAGTTCCCGGATGTTTTCCCTGAGGAATAGTCAGGTGTGCCTCCTGAGAGACAGGTGGAGTTCTGGATTGATCTGATTCCGGGTGTGGCACCTATTGACAAGGCACCTTATCGCCTTGCGCCGCCTGAGATGCAGTAGTTGTCCTTGCAGCTCCAAGAGCTGCTGGGGAAGGGTTTCATTAGACCGAGTAGCTCACCGTGGGGAGCGCCGATCCTTTTTGTCATGAAAAAGGATGATTCACACCGGATTTGCATCGACTACCGGGAGTTGAACAAGCAGAGGGTCAATAATCGTTATCCACTACCGGGGATCACCGATTTGTTTGATCAGTTGCAGGGGGCGTCTTGGTTTTCCAAGATTGATTTGAGATCTGGGTATCATCAGAAGAGAGTCTGCGAGAAGGATATTCAGAAGATGACCTTTCGGACTCGTTATGGGCACTACGAGTTTGTGGTGATGCCTTTCGGACTCACCAATGCATCGGCAGCGTTCATGAAGCTCATAAACCAAGTATGTAGGCCCATGCTGGATAGGTCAGTGATCGTG